CAAAGTTAGACAATGCATTTAATAGTCCAAATTTTCTTCAGTAACTGTTTTACATAATTTCATTGGAAGCACCTGTAAGTCTCCAATTTAAGTGGATATTTTTGGAAGGCTCCAGTTATACAGGAATTCCCCAATGGAAAATTCAGTTTCCCAAGCAACCCCTTAGGACTGTGCTACAATTTGGATCCTGCAAGATCCGACTATGGAACTCCTATTGACGCTGGCATAATGACTGTCTGGACAGCGGACAACCTGGACCTCTCTCTCACTCTTACAGCTTTTGGTTTCCATCATGTCTGCTCTACAACTCAATATTCTTCAACAGTTTTTTAAATGTCCTGTTTTCCTGCATACCACGGTTTTTTTTTTGTGTGCTCTTTACAAGCTCTGTTCAATTTGGGATTTCCGTTCTTACATCTTTTTTTCCCTTCACAAGATGCTGGCTCCATTGTCCACACTTCCCATTCCACCAACCATCACCTCCGACAGATCATCTTTAGCCATCTCTACTATCTTTAACTTGATCCTGGTACCAAACATATCTTTCCTTCACCTTCCCATTCTCCATTCTAGATGAGATAGTAGGAACTGCCGATGCTGGAGTCTGAGATAACAAGGTGTAGAGCTGGATGAACACAGCAGATCAGACAGCATCAGAGGAGCAGGAAAGCTGAAGAAGAGTCCAGACCTGAAACGTCAGCTTTCCTGCTCCTCTGATGCTGCCTGGCCTGCTGTGTTCATCCAGCTCTACACCTTGTTATCTCCTTTCTAGATTATTGTTTTCAATCATTCTTTAGGGTGTGGGCATGGCTAACAAGGTGAGCATTTATTTCTCATTCTCAACTTTCCTTGAGGAGACATTGATGAGCAGCGTACAATCAAATGGCACGTTAGATAATTTCAAATGGCAGTTAACTCTTAACCATATTTCTCTTGGTCTGGAGCCACATGTAGAGCAGAACAGTTGAGGACAACAAGTCTTCTCCTTGAAGGAAAAGAGTGAACTAGATGGATTTATATGACAAACAATGGCTTCATGATCATTCTTAATTTTATTCGTGATTAGTTCATTAATTGAATTTAAATTCCTCCAGCTGTTATGATGGAATGTGAACCTTTATTTCTAAAACATTAATCTAACCCTCAAAGTTAACCAGTAACATTGTCGCTATGAGACCATTCTTAATCATGCTCTTCTCTCCTTCATTATCACCTCTACAATATGAATTGCATTCCAAATGGCTATTCTTTGGATGTGGAATGAGCATCTGTGTTTAAAAAATGAACATATTCAATAGAACAATGTTCTTAATTGCTCATGGGATGTATTCATAGCATTTATTACATAATCTTAATTTATCTTGAGAAGGCGGTGAGCAGTCTTCACCAACTGCTCCAGTACATGAAGTATATCTATACAGTTTAGTTAGGTAGGAAACTCCATGTTTTGACCAAGTGAGGGCAAAGGAATTACAAAATAGCTCCAAGTCCGGCTACAGTGTGAATTTGAGGGTAATTTACAGATTGTGGTGCTAATTTACAAGGTCCTTTTGAAAAAATGCTGCCAACTTGTTGCAGTGCATCTTGTAGATGTTCCACACTGTTGCCATAAACAATATTGATGATGGGAGTGAATATTTAAGGTCAGGGATAGGGTGCCAATCAAGCAGGCTGCTTTGGTTGGATGGTGTCAAAATCAGAGATAATTTTAGACTAATTACAGAATCTGATGAGGCAGGCAAGGAATTGCAGAAAGACTTGGACAAAAATTGTAAGACGAGCAATGATGCATGAAATTTATTGAGGATAATATAAAGGATGGAAAAATCAAAGACAAATCTGTTCACGAAAGTGAGATGAACCAGAAATGGAAGTGTTTGAAAGAGACTTGAGAGTGATAAAGATTAAGTCATTTGGAGCCTTGATCTAAAGTCAAAGGGCTGAGTTATGTTGGAACACAGTAGTCTTGTACTATCATGCAGGGGTCTTGACAGGCTCCAAAGTGAAGATTGCATAAACCTCAGTCATTAAGAACCAACAAACTGATGCAAGAACAACACGCAGTAAGAGATTGGCCTTCAGTTCTAAAGAGACTAAGTTATCAAGAATAAAAAAGAGAAAAAATAGCATTCTTCAATTTTGAAAGGAAATGGATGAGATGGATCCTGATAGAAATATACGATACTAAGTAAAACTAAAAGATCTATCTGAAAGCCTATTATAGATTAAACTACACTGCAAGATGAAAAGATTATAGATAAAAGCTGTTGACTGATTGTTGGATACATTTGTTTTTGCAAGTAATTATTAAGATTGAGAATCATCTTCTTAGCAAAGAAGGAGATATTAAAAAAAAGAAAGTCTTCCTTTAATCAAATTTAACCATTTCTGTGGATTTGAGTTTGAAGAATTAGGGAGATAACTGGACTGTTCTATTTTTTAAAAAAAGCTCACCGAAAAGGCATCGAATTTTCTTTCAACAAGACATTTCATGGAAGATACGTATAATTGGTTAATTAATCTTGGTTGCTTGAAGTCGTTCCAGGGAAAGTAGTCCTGAGGAAGGTTCACTGGACCCAAAACGTTAACTCTAATTTCTCTCCACAGATGCTGCCAGACTTACTGAACTTTTCCAGCAACTTCTGTTTCTGTGCCAAGGAACAAACCTGACTGTTTCTACAATTGGGTTTTATGATTATTTTAAGTGAACAGTGTTTTGTCACCTGGGGGTTGTTTTTGGTTTTGCACTTGCAGGAAATCTTCCTGGAAGAAAGAGTTTGCCAGTTCAGCTCTCCTACTTCTGAAAAGATCTTTGGTGTGAAATTGATGAGAAACTTGTTTGCCATCTCAAAGAGTGCCCTGACAAATCCTCGATTTTGTGTTTCCTGAGAAAGCTACGTTTGCAAAGATCCCAGAGATATCTGCTGATCAAGAACTAAGACTTGATAGCCAAAGTGTATTTTTCTTTTCTCAAAGTAAATCGCTGGACAGAGAAATCCATTTCCCTCCCTTCCTATTGTGAATCGGTACATGTTTGCATATGTGTGTTTTGAACAAAAACAGAAATTGCTGGAGAAACTCAGCAGGTCTGGCAGCATCTGTGGAGAGAAGGCAGAGTTAATGTTTCGAGTTATTGAATCATAGAATCTACTGACTCTTCTTCAGTATTGAAGAATCATTAAGAAGAAGGGTCACTAGACTCGAAACGCTAACTCTGCCTTTTCTCAACAGATGCTGCCAGAGCTGCTGAGTTTCTCCAGCAATGTCTGTTTTTGTTTCAGATTTCTAGCATCCACAGTTTGTTTTATTTTTGTGTGTGTTTGTAGTTATTTTAGAGGGGCAAACTATTATATTTTCATATCATAAACTGTGTGTGCTAACTAATTCTACATTTTGATGGAGTGAGTTTTGTTTCATAATGAATCAATTGTTTTGTATTATTAAAGAGATTTAATTGATTTTTTTCCCCAGTCTAATCGAAAGTTTTCAATTGGCTACACCAAGAAAGGGACAAAATAAATTAAACTTATGCTTTGACTCAGAGAGTAGAGAGACTAAAGAAAGACTTTAGTCATCTCTCTCCCGTCTTAGGCAGTCCCTCAGGATTGAGGATGACTTTTTCCCACTCTGGTGTTAGGGGTTCAAAGGTGACTAGGTACTCTGATACTGGACCTGCAAAACCTATGACAGGTGGGATGTTTGCTGATGCAGGTCTGTAGGTAGCTCTGGTTTTCACTTGCTGTTTGCATTGTTTGTGCTTGCCATCTATCTGATCTGTTAGAGACTCTCAAAACAGTTAAGGAGCTAGAGATTCCCATGAATCAATGGCAATACTCCACTTTTTTTTCAGTGAGGCTTTAAGGAAGTGACTACAGATTCGTAATTCTTTCTTCACATCTAAGAAATGAGGCCACCCTTGTAACTCTTCTCTGTACTGTCTCAAGCACTTGAATCATAGCATCCCCATAGTGTGGAAGCAGGCCCTTTGGCCCATCAAGTCCATACCGACCCTCCAAAGATCATCCCACCAAGACCCACCCCACTACCCTTCCCTGTAACCCTGCATTTCCATAGCTAATCCACCTAGCGTACATATCCCTGGCCACAACGGGCAATTTAGCATGGCCAATCCACCTAACCTGCTCATCTTTAGACTGTGGGAGGAAACTGGATGTTACTCTTGTTTCTCAATTATCTGAACCGAACACAGTACTCAAGATGTGGTCTAAGCTGTACTGTTTGATCATGTAAAACTGACTGGCTTATATCCTACTGTTTCGCTATTTACATCAGCATTCTATTGATTTTGTTGGCCAAAGGTGGATGTGCTGAGTGTCAAACGTAATAAGGCTGCATGGTCTCTTTCAACTTCATTCTTAGCAATTTTAGCATTATTAACTTAGTATGGATGATACCTGATTATTACCATTCTGCAAAACATAGCAAAGATTCACTGCAATCTAATCACTGGAGTATTGATCTGCCAAACATTAGAGTTGAAGCTTTTGAAGTTGAACATTCTTGATCAAACAATTCCATTTACATCACTGGCATTGCACTTAGTTCTATGCTTAGAGAAACAATACACAATTGGCTGACTTTTAACTTAACCTGCTCTTCAAAATCCTTCACTTATTTGGGTCTAGAACTATTATTGCTGCTTTCATTCAAAGATATTTACATTTTTTAAATCTAAAGAACATACCCTAAGGATACAGAAATAGCAACATTAATTTTATTGAGATTTGAAACCACCAGTGAAAGAAGAATGAACTAAATATGCAGAATACATACGTAATGGAAATGGTTAATATTAAATTTTTATGGCACGACCTGCTTCTATAGTGTACAGCATTCACTTCTTTGTATCTACTAATCTCTGTTAAGAGAGATATTTTTATAGTGGAATGGATAAATATCAATTGTATGTTATTCCTTTCTGCCAATATTGTTGTACATAAATACCACATCACACAAAACAACAATTAATTTGAATTTACCTTAATAACCAAATCAAATTTCTGATGAAAATCCCTGTTTATTGGCCTTAGGAGATAGAGCTCAGCAGTGATATTATTCAGGGAAAAGTACTTAGCATAATCCTCTGGCGTACCTTAAACAAAACAGTACAGTTGTCAAAGATTAATTTCTTGAATATGATTGGCATAGCATTTAATATGATCAAATAATTTATCAGGTAAATATACTGCAATGGTGAAACAACTTCTAACATTCTAAGTCAATGTTTCAATGCATAAGATTATAATTGCAGATAATAAATCATGACAATACAAAGTTACCAACCAACAAGAATACTGTAGACAATTCCTGGTTGATCATCAGTTGGTTTAATGTTTATATCTTGGTCAACAGCTAGAATTCGAGGTGTAACATTCACTGGGTTTATCCTTGCCTGAAAGAAGACAGCAAAATACAAATTTACCTTAATTTTCCCAAAAATTATCTTAAAATTTAACAATGCTTTTACCTTACTGTTACAGTTAATAATTGTTTATTCATCTTCATTTTTATTTTTTTCTGTAAATGTATCATCAACACTGTCTAACCTTTCATCAAAGCACTCTTGATAAATCATAGGATGGTGGTGAAAGAGTAATTTGTAACTCAATAAATGTCAAACAAATATGTTTCTTCATTCTATCAAGTCAAACATGCAAAATGGTGTTGGAGTCTCTCCTGGATCTCTTTTAAGGTCATTTTCTAATGTTAAAAATTGTACCAAACTCAGTCCGAACCCCTAAAGAACTTCATGAAAATGAAGCAACTAATTATATTTACTAACGTGTGTGTGTGTTTTGAGATTGCTGTAAATGCTTTTTTCTTAGGTTCTGGCACTAGGCAAACATCATTATTGCTTTATCATAGAATTATACAGCACAGAACAGGCCCAATGGCCCATTAAGTTTTTACCAACAAAATAGACTGCCACCCATGCTAGTCCCACTTTCCTGTATTAGGCCTATATCATTGAATGCTATGAAACTCCAAGTGCTCATCCAAGTACTTTTCAAAGGTTGTGAGATTACCCACTTTTACTACCCTCCCAGGCCATTTCAGGCCCCACCACTTCTGGCTATAAAACTTTTTCCTCAACGCCCTCTAAACCTTCTACTTTTCACTTTAAAATTATGCCCCCATGTTACTGACTCTTCCACTCAGGGGAATAGCTGCTTTCTATTCAACCTGTCTACGTCCCCATAACTTTACACACTTCTATCAGCACCCCCATCGCTCTAAACTTCGCTGCTCTAAAGAAAATAACTCAAGCTTATCCAGCCTCTCTTCATAGCTGAAATGTTCCAGCCCAGGCAACATCCTGGTAAATCTCCTCTGCACACCCTCCAGTGAAATCACATCATCTTGTAATGTGGTGACAAAATTGCATATAGTATTCTAGCTGCAGCCTAACTAAAGTTCTGTACCACTCCAGAATGATCTCCTACCTCTTACAATGTATGCCACGACTGATAAGGCAAACACCACATATGCTTCCTTACTCCCCCATCAACCTGTCCTGCCATCTTCACAAATGTGTGGACAGGTTGCCCAAGATCCCTGTAAGCTTCCTAGTGTCTTGCCAGTCAGTGATTACTCCCTTGTCTTGTTCCTTCTTCCAAAGTGCATCACCTCAAATTTATCAGATTAAATGCCATCTGTCACTGATCTATCCATCTGACCAATCCATGTATATCCTTCTGCAACTTAACACCTTTTCTCTCAGTGTTAACCAACCGGCCAACTTTTGTGCCCTGCACAAACTTACTTATCATCCACACTCTTCAACAACAACCCTGCCAAACTACGTGATTTATGAATGCCACAAACAATTAGGGACACGGCACTGATCCCTGTGGTATATCACTGCACACCGGGCTCCAGTCGCAGAAACAGCCTTCTACCACCATCCTCTGTCACCTGTCACTGAGCACTATAGCTGGTGAAAGTCTCTTTTATTCTGAATAGCAGTACCAAAGGGGAATAATTAACCATTTTGAAAAGTGAATTAAAAAAACACTTTTGTACTCATTACTTGATTACCAGCTCATTGCTCCCACTTTAACTGCAAGAGTAAACAGACCAAAGCTCTAGGTCTGGTCTCACCAATGTCCTGGACAGTTGTATGTAAAGATCCCTTTAATACTTCATGCCTTGCAATAAAGGCCAACATTTGCCTTTAATTTTGCCATACCAAGATAAATTTTGTGATTCATGTAGCGGAACACCCAGATCCATCTGCAGACTGCCTCCATTTAACTAACAGCCTACTTTTCTATTGTTCCCACCGAACTTTTTCCCACATTATAGTCCATCTCTGTCAAGTTTCTCACCTACTCACATAACCTATCCATATCCCTTTGCAAACTTTGTATTCTCCTCACTTGCTTTTGGATCTTTGTAATGTCAGCAAACTAGGTTACAATCCATTTAGTCCCTTCATCCTAATCATTGGTTAAGGTTGCAGACTGTTGTGCTCCTAATGATCCCTGTGGCACACCACAAATTTACAAATGTGAAGGTACTCCATTTATTCCAAGTGTTATTTAATTAGATATTCCTCTATCCATGCTTTTATACTAACCCCAACACCGTGAGCTCTTTTCTTGTATGGTAACATTTTCAGAGAAACCTTGTTGAAAGACTTTTGAAAATCCAAACACATTACAACTACTGGTTTGCTTCTATCCACACTAATTATTACACCCTTAAAAAGCTCAATGTTTGCAAGGTCATAAAGAAGATTAAAATTGCTGAAGAGACTGGTTTTGTCTGACACTCATCAGGACAAATGCAAGAATGCTAAATTTCAAACTAACACAACAATTTATACCATAGAAAACAGGCTACTGATTGAGTGGTAAGTAAAGTCTTACTGAACACATATTTCTCTCTAGAAATATTCCAATAAATTTGTAACATTCAACTTCCCTGCCATACACCATGTTGACTCTGCTTAACTATGTTATGATTTTCTAAGTTCCGTGCCTTTATTTTTAATGGATTTGAGCATTTTCCCAATGGCAGACTAAGCTGAGAGGCCTATAGCTTCCTATGTCACGACTCCCTCTTTTCTGAAGGAGAAGTCTTACATTTTTCTTTATTCAATCATCGGATGTAGCCATCACTGTCAAGACCAGTATTTATTGCCCATCACTAATCTCAGTGGAGTCTCTAAATTAACAGTCCAGTGATAATACCAGTAGGTCATCGTCTCCCCCAATCTGCTCTTTTCCTCTCCACATGGTCTTTTGAGAGTTTAAGGAAGGTTGCAACATTATAACCAATGCAGCCACTTTATTTAAGACCATAGGATTGTTCAATGTTGGAAATAAAAAGCTAAAGAGCTGAATAAAGTTACAAATAATTGCAGAAATTTAAGTTTAGCACGTTTAACTGATTCAAATGAGACATTGACAGAGGCGAATTCTTTTCTCCATATCTGAAAATTAAAGAAGAAGATCTTCCATTTGTATCGTCATGTTTCAGACCATAGAATGGCCCAAAGTGCTTTACAGTCAGCTAAATATTTCTGAAGTGTGAGCAATATGCTCACCTCGGAACACAGCAACCAATTTGTGGACAGCAAACATCACAAACAGTAATGTTAATGATGTCTGGATAATTTGTTATTGTGATGATGACTGAGGGATAAATATTGGTCCGGACATCAGGGATATATTTCCTGCTGTTAGAGTCATAGAACAGTACAACATGGAAACAAAGCCTTCGGTCTAACTTGTCCATGCCGACCAGATATCCAAAATCAATCTAGTCCCATTTGCCAACATTTGGCCAATTTCCCTCTAATCCCTTCCTATTCATAAAACCATCCAGATGCCTTTTAAGTGTTGTAATTGTACCAACTTCCACCACTTCCTTGGCAGCTCATTCCATACACGCACCACTTTCTGCATGAAAAATTTGCCCCTCAGGTCCCATTTATATCTTTCCACTCTCACCTTAAACCTATGTCCTCTAGTTCTGGACTCCCCTACCCTGGGAAAAAGACCTTAGCTATTCACCCTGTCCATGGCCCTCGTGATTTTATAAACCTCTATAAGGTCATCCCTCAGCCTCCGACATTCCAAGGAAAATAGCCCCAGCCTATTCATTGTCCCCTAATGCTCAACCCTCTAACCCTAGTAACATCTTTGTAAATATTTTCTGCACCCTTTCAAGTTTCACAACGTTTTTCCTCTAGCAGGGAAACCAGAATTCAATGCACTCTTCCACTTTTCTTTATAATATTATTGCCATGATGCTAATTTTTAAAAAATGAAGTTTCCTCTGTGTGTAAATATTTAGTATAACTTGAGAAAGCTTATGGATAACTAGTCTAAAATTTCTTGGCTTCCGGCATCACCTTTCTTAAATAGCACAGTAGTGTATGCAATTTTCCAATATACCGGAACCGATTCACAATTTGAGAGATCTTTAAAATGATTGTAGCTTGGAAATCTACACTCTTCTCATCTAATCATTCTGAAGGGGTTGATATTTGGATTATATTATCTCCACCCATTCTACTGATGTCAGCCTCAATATGAAGGTGGAAACAGAGTGGAATTTTTTTCATTTTGTTTTGTCAAATGAGATTCACGTCTGCTGGTCTACCCTGGCTTGTTGTCTCATACAATTTTCTGCTCTTCACCTAACTAATGTTTGGATGACTTTCTCAAGGAATCAAGGAGGGCAGGAGGGCTCATCACATCTCGAGTTCACGCTGCTTTAGCGTCATATTTGAAGCTCAACTTTGTATCACTTCAGCTGCTTCGAGTGAGGATCTGGCCCTCACACTGTGCAGCATCAGCCTCTGTGTTCAGGACATGGTCATGAGGAAAGGAAAGTTCCCTCCTCATTTCATTGACAGGGAATTTGAGGTGTTGGTGGATGGGGAATGGAAGGTAGACCATTTTCCAGTTGACTGCTACTGGAGACCACACCACCAACCTGGACAGAAATTGGAGCCTGGGTCAGTGCTGGGTCATGGGTGAAGTGGGATGCTCAGCAGTGCAAGATGAAGGTCAATGAACTTCTCGCCTTTGTATAAGTAAATGCCAGCTTTTTTCTCTCTCTTTACCTCCCACTCCTACAGCTGGCACACACTGTATCTCTGCTCCTGAATGTGCCTCTCACCAACACTCATAACTCCAACTGCAGGAAAATAAATGGCCCAACCTAGGGTGATGTCTCAACAGCCTGTCCTGAGGAAGGGTCCCGAAACATTAACTCTGATTTCTCTCCACAGATGCTGCTGGAGCTTTTGAGCTTTTCCATTACTTTCTGTTTTTGACTCAACAGCACCATGGCTGACCTATAAGCAATCCCTATGATGGCTGTACTGGGCTTACAGGACTGACCATGACCCGATCCCCAACTGCAAGGACTCTGATC